GATACAAATGAGTTTTTATATGAAAGAGAAATGAAAATAATGAAATTACAAGGTACAAAGTCTGACTAGTAGCTCAAGGTTTCTCACAAAGACCAGGAATTGATTACGCGGAAACATATCCTCCCGTAATGAATATCATCACTTTTAGATTCTTAATTAATTTGATTGCGTAACAAAAGTTTGATATGCGCCTTATGGATGTAGTAACTGCATATTTGTATAGTTCACTTGATAGTGACATATATAAGAAAGTCCCTGAAGGACTTAAGGTGCCATGAATAAATGATATATGCTCGAGAACCATGTTTTCAATTAAATTGCAAAGATTATTATATGGATTAAAACAATTTGAACGCATGTGGTATAATCGTCTTTACGAAATTTGTTGAAGGAGGGTTATAAAAATGACGATATCTGTCCATGTGTTTTCATAAAAAAACAAAAATTGAAATGAAAATTGTGGTAGATTATGTTAATGATTTAAATTTAATTAGAACTCCTGAAGAGCTAAACAAAACTCCTGGTTATTTGAAAAATAAATTTGAGATGAAAGAATTTGGAAAACCAATTTTTGTCTCAGATTGTAGATTGAACATTTTCCAAAATGATTATTTGTTCATCAATCTACATATACAGAAAAAGTTCTAAAACGTTTTTATATGGATAATGCACATCCATTGACATCACATATGGTTGTTCGATCACTTGATGTGAAAAATGATCCATTTTGTCCACTCGAAGATCGAGGAAAGGTTTTTGGTCCAGAAGTACCACATCTTAGTGGAATTGGAGTATTAACTTTATCTTGCAAATTGTACTCGATCCGACGTAGCCTTTTGTGTAAATCTCCTTGCAAAATATAGCTCTTTTAGAAATCAAAGACAGTGAAATAGTGTCAAACGTATTTTTCGTTATCTAAAGGGTACTATTGATTTGAAATTATTTTATTCTCAAAAGTCGAGGTTTGCTTTAGTGGGATATGCAGATGCTGATTATCTATCTGACCCATATAAAGTTAAATCACAAATAGGATATGTATTTACACGTGGAGGAACAAATCTATGAAGCAATTCTTGACAGCTACATTTTCAAATCATTTTGAAATTAATGTAATCTATGAAGCAGGCTAAGAATGTGTATGGTTGAGATCCATCATATCAAGCATCATACGGGTTAACTTCAACAAAAGATAGTCAAACAATTTTGTATGAATACAATGCAGCTTGTATTACACAACTCAAAGAAGGCTATATTAAAGACATATTTTTCTAAAATTCTTTCATACATATGAGATTCAAAAGAATGAGGACATCGATATCTAATAAATTCTCTCAAGTGAAAATGTAGTCAATTTATTCACAAAAGTATTGCTGACATTTATATTCAAGAAATTTGTTCACAAGATTGAAATGCGTCGACTCAAAGATTTTCAATGATCAACATCAGGGGAGTCATTGTACTTTTTTTTTCCTTCGCTTAGGTTTTTATCTCACTTGGTTTTCCTAGGAAGGTTTTAACGAGGCAGCATTTATTTTTAATACTCCAAAATAATTGTACTCTTATTCCTCCCTTTGTTTTTTTCCCATTGAATTTTTATCAAATAATTTTTAACGAAGTAGATATTTTGTAATGTATCATTCTAGGTGGAGAGTTGTAAATGGTAAGTTTATTAGAATTTGTTAGTGAATGACAATTTTACCCCTACAACCATAGAAATTATTACTATTTTACCTATAAATATAGGGTTCTGGTTCTTAATAAAATACACACACAGTCTATTAACTTTTCTCTGTTTTGTTCTCTTTTGTTCTCTTTTCACAACACAATGTAACTATTATTACCAAAATGCCTTGAAACATAAACCATATCAAAAAGAGTATTGAATTTTTTTTAAATGTTTTGTACATAAAATCAATCCGTCACACAACCTTATAAAACATATATAATACATCAGGGGGAGTGTTCCACCTACCAATACATTTGATAAAGATTTTTGACAAATAATATGGACTCTTATATTTAAAAATAAAATAAAATCTAATGCTCTTCATTAATTATATTAAAATCCTTCAAAAATTTTATCCCCCTTTCCAAATATACCCCACATATCTTTTAAAAATCACCAATTACCCTCTTATAAGCCTTTTTTTCCCAAAAAAAAAAGGTCACCACCTGGAACCATTCTTGTCCTCTCATTGGCTTCACAAACATCTTCTATCCAACAACCGACAACTGGCATCTCAAGCCTCTAACAAGAAACGGGTTTGTGAAAAATATTTTAAAGAGAGAATGTATTATTGAAAAAAATTTTTAGAAAAAATAATTTTGTGTAAATGACTGTCAAACAAGGGCTAAAAATTAAGTGGTTGAAGCTACAAACATTAATGGATTGCTCAGGTTACATGTCGATCGTTAAAGGTTGAAATTCAAAAAATGAAGCAGCACAGCAAGCAATCATTCGTAAAATACTCCATTCATATGGAAATATATATTTGTATTTCTCATTGTTGACATTGGATGACGCATTCTGGTACAAACAATTGTTAAGACATTAAGTCCCCGTTTGACAACCTTTAAAAATTTAGCCCCCATTTGGCCCCATTCTTTCCAACTTTGAATTGTTGGAATAGTGTTTTTTTGAAAATTGTATGGTTGAAAAAGAATGAAAAGTTTTCGATTTGTGTATAATATTATTTTATACAAGATTGTGTGGTTAAAAATAAGAGAGAGAAAACGAATGAGAAAGATAATGGGAGCCAAACGGGGACTTAAATTGTTTGTTACAGTATATTTTTCCACCATATATTCACACTATAAAATATTATACACAACCCAATAAAATTATCTTATTTTTTTACCACACATTTTCCAAAAACGCTATTTAAAACTCTTTAATTTTTGAAATAATGAATGTCAAACAGAGCCTAAATTATAGATTCTATATTCAAACAAGATAATATAAAAGAACAACATAGACCACATAAGGTGAAGAAATCGCCCGTACCCATCCAACATAACAGTGGTTGATGTCTCTGTTTTAGTGCGTCAACCAGAATTTAAGGATGGTAAACCAGCAATAATCTTCACTCCCCTGGAATTGCAGCGATCTGAGGCACCCCTACAGTTTGCCCTCATTGCCAAATTCTCTAAGACAAGGCCTAGAATAGATGTCCTTCGTCACTTTATCAATATGAAGTGGGGATTGTTTGCTGTCCCTATTGTCAGTTTACCGGATCGATGTCATGTATTGATTAAACTCCAAAACGTTGAGGATTTTAACAAGGGTTGGACTCTGGACTCCCGTGAGATTGATGGCTCCTTATTTCGATTGTTTAAATGGTCTCGTGATTTTAAACCGACTGAGGAATCCCCTATTGCTCCAGTTTGGATTCGTCTCCCTTTACTTTTCCTAAATTTCTGCATTCCTTCGTATTTACAAGCATTTGCGTAGGATAATGATGCGTAGGATATTTGATCGATTATCCTACGGGTCTGAGAACCCAAAGGGAAAAGGTCAAGGGTAGACAAAGAGAAGTGCCTAAACAGGTGGTCAAGCCTCTGCGTCGTCATCTCAGTTCAGACCTGCCAACAATTACATTCACACGGCCTAGTTTGGCAAGAGTTTGCTTTGAAATAGACTTGTCACAGCCACGTGAAGACCTGATCTAGATTGGTACTAGAAAGGATAATTCATCGGGTTTTTGGCAAGAAGTACATTACGAAAGATCCCCCAAGTATTGCAGTCACTGTCGTCTTCATGGACATGATATTTCAAGCTGCAATAGAAGGCAAGGACTTAACAGTGCAGTTAGAAAGCCAACACAAAAACATATGCCATTACAGATTGATAAGAAAGGTGAAAACAAGGTTGAACAGTCATCGAAAAATGAGTAGGACAACTCAGTGGAAATTCATCCCCTGAGTAAAGGGGACGATGCTACAGAGGTTGTTAAGCCGTTACCAAGTAAGGAAGATGTCTTGCACAATGAGAAACTAGAAGGGAAACACAAACCTAAAGAGTCTTCGTAGAAAGCTCCCAACATTCTGCCTAATGAGGAAAATGAGGTTACAACAGACAATGATGCCAAGGATGAGGTCGAGACAAATAAGAGGTTAAAAGAAACTGGACTTTTGAGCTCTGGAAGCACTACTGGGATTGAGAAAATTTCACCAGATTGTAGTAGATCCCTTTCTTCCCCCAATCAACGCTCCCCAATCGTTTAGCGGAAGACATTCCTATTGGAAATTCATTCGACGTGTTAATTGATCAATTATACTTGGAAGTTGGAAAAGACCCTCCGGATTACTCTTTCGACGTTGGTAGGGGTGGAGGTTGTCATTCTGATATGGATAGACCAGACATTGCAGCCAATAACAGAGGTAACAGAAAAATAGTACTGATCTCTGACCTTTTAGTTGGGGATCCTCACAAGCACCTTTGATATGAGTGCATTCCTTGTATAGAATGCAAGGGGGGTGGGAAATTCTGCCACCACTCGACAGCTTAAACACTTGACAAAAAATTTTAAGGTTTCATTTGTTGCTATATTGGAGCCGATAGTGTCTTCGAATCAGGCTCCTAAGTTTGGTAGGAAGTTGGGTCTTCCACAAGTAGTTACTAACATAGAATTTGGGGGTAAGATATGGGCTTGTTTTCCAGTAAATCTTATTCTCACCATGGTGGCGGCTATTGACCAGTTTATTGCTGTAGATATGAACTGGGAAGGAAATGTGGTTCGTCTTGTCTTTATCTATGCCAAATGTGATTATATCCTTCGAAGAAAATTGTGGTTGTCTTTGGGACAACTCATGTCCAGCTCTTTCCCTGTCATTTTTGTACGGGACTACAATATTGTTAAAAATGAAGAGGAAAGAGCTGGCGGTTTACCGGTTAATAGGGTAGCCAAAAATGACTTTCTCCAGTTATTGATTCACATGGCTTATATGATCTCCCTTTCTTGGGAAGTAAATTCACTTGGTTTAGCAACCGCAATGGGTCTATGATTTGGCAAAGGCTCGATCGTGCTTTCACTAATCATGCTTGGTACGATCAATTCCGTAATAGTATTGTTAATTATCTTGAGAGATCTCATTCAGATCATGCTCCGTTGCTCATACAGTTGGTTCATCCTCGGAGGAGCTCGCTTTCTCCTTCTCGTTTTCAGCGTATGTGGCTTCAACATCCTTTATTTCTTCATGTGATTGCGGAATCTTGGAATAGAGAGTGTCATTTAAGCGGTTTGCAATGGATGGCTTTTAAACTTAAAAGGCTCAAGGGAGATCTTAAGCTCTGGAACAAGGTAGTCTTTCGTAATATTTTTCAGCGACTTAACGACGCCAGGGATAAAATTCTATTGCTTGAAAATCAAATGCTTTCGGATAACTCAGTCGCTAAGGAGCTCGCGGAATTAAAATGCAGTTATGACCTTTTACTTCTTCAGGAAGAGATCTATAGAAAACAACGAAGTTGTGTCAAATGGCTTAAAGAGAGAGATCGCAATACTGCATTTTTTCATGCTATGGCTCGTCAAAATCAACAAAAGATCCATGTTAGTGAAATTATGGGCCCTTCTTGTATTCTCACAGACACACAACAAATTCTAGGAGCAGCGGTTGAATTTTTTAAAAGCCATCTGGATAGCGGAATAGAGAGTGGTCGTGATTTATCTCCCATGCTCTCTCTTGTGCCTAACTTAGTTACTAGTGAGGATAACGAAATGCTCCTTTTTGTGATTTCGGAACATGAAGTGTATGATGCAGTCAAGGGCATTCCTGAGGATTCTGCAACGGGTCCCGATGGATTCTCTTCATCCTTATATATTCATGCTTGGGCTATAATTTCTGATGATCTTATTGTAGCCGTCCGAGAATTTTTTGTAGGGGCTCTCTGTCCAGATGCCTTGGGTGCTTCTATCATCTTACTCATCCAAAAAAAGACAAGCTGAACACGTTTTTTGATTTTAGGCCCATAAGTATTTGTCAGGTGCTCTACAAAATTATTGCCAAGATTATGGCCAATAGATTATCTAAGGTGCTCTCAAGAATTATCTCTCAGAATTAAGGTGGTTTTGTGGTGGGACGTTTGATATCAGAAAACATTTCTTTAGCTCAAGAATTAGTCCAGCATTTGAACAAGTGCTCACGTGGAGGTAATACTATACTTAAAATTGATATGGCTAAGGCATTTGATAGGGTGGAGTGGGACTACTTGTTGGTTGTCTCGAGAGCTTTTGGTTTTACTGAAGGTTGGGTCTCTCTTATTCATAATGCTATTTCTTCCCCTAAATTTTCAGTAAAAATTAATGGAAAACAAGCTGGCTTCTTTGCAACTACTCGGGGTCTTCGACAAGGAGATCCTCTATCTCCGTTATTGTTCATTCTTAGTGAAGAACCTCTATCGAGAAGACTATTGAATCTGTTACAGGAAAAAAAAGTCCCCTTATCAGGTTCCCGACAATTGCTCACCAGTTTCACATCTATTATATGCAGATGATTTTCTGTTGTTCACCAACGGGTCTAGGGGCTCTCTCAAGGTGTTGATGGAATTTTTGCATTTTTATGAGAAAGTTTCTGGTCAACTTATAAATACTCAGAAAAGCTCTTTTATTGTCAGTAGAAAAATACCCTTTTCTCGTCGGAGGATTATTGCATCTATTACTAATTTTCAAGAAAACTCTCTACCCTTCAGCTACTTAGGGGCCCCGCTATTTTATGGTCACTGTACTTACTCGTTATTTGCTCCGATGGTCGGCAAAGTTCATAAAAAGGTTGCAGGCTGGAAAGGTCAACTACTTTTTTGGGGAGGTAAGCTCATCCTCATTCGATCGGTATTAACCTCTATGCCTATATATTTAATGTCAGTGATACGCCCTCCAGATAAAGTGATTCATGAACTACAACAGATCTTTGCTAATTTTTTCTGGGGTGATTATGAAGGGAAGCATAAATATCATTGGATTTCTTGGAAGAAAATATGTTTCCCCTCTTATGAAGGGGGGTTGGGTGTCCGAAGTTTATTTGATGTTTTATACTCCAATGTAAAATGCTATGGAGAGTTTTGACAGGTGACTCTTTATGGGCTGCATTCATAAGGCATAAATATTTGAGTGTAAACTTTAACATGAACTCTTACTCACCTGGACTTTGTTCATCCCCATGTTGGCGTAATTTAAGTAAACATCTTCCTTTTATTCATGACCACAGCAAGTGGATGATCGGCGAAGGAAAAATCTCATTTTGGTATGCAAACTGGACAGGTTTTGGCTCTTTGTATGACCAAGGCTGGATTGTTAATGAACCAAGGTTACAGTTGAAATATGTTTGTGCAAAGGATGCTTGGAATACTGATCTTATTCATAAGCTGGGAGGTGACAATTTGATGGCTTACATTCATACTTTAGCTATCCGCTTGAAGCAAGTGCCAGACAAACTGATTTGGTGTTCGACTCCAACATGAGAGTTCTCTACTAATACGGCTTGGAATTTTTTACGTGAGACCAAGGACAAACTTCATCTCTTCGAATTGATTTGGAATAAATTGCTCCCGGTAAAAATCACAATCTTCTTCTGGCGTGTTTGGTTTGGTATAATACCAGTGAATAGTGTTATTAGAAGTCGTGGTGTCCCATTAGCATCAAAATGTTATTGTTGTTCTCATACAAAAGTGGAGGACGTTGAGCACCTATTTCATACTAGCGAGCAGCGACTCATGTTTGGACTCATTTTGCCAACATCTTTGGAGCTCAAATTGTTTTTGCTAGTTCATGGCGTGCCGTACTTATTAATTGGTTGCACCAATTTGATGGTTCTTCGCAATTTCATCAACTTGCTCTTTTAACCCCTACGCTAATTGCTTGGGAGCTTTGGCTTGCACGCAATGAGGGTAGATTTAATGAAGGTTTGGTCAATGGACATAAAATTTGCTCCAAAGTGAAACACTGGTTGGTTGAATTAAATTCATTACTGCGACCATCACGTGCTACTCCCTCTCATCTTCATGCTACTCTCGATTGTCTTGGTATGGCTCCAACTCCTTTGACAATAAGGCTCCTCTCCTTGTTCGTTGGTATCGTCCCCCTTGTGATATTCTTAAACTTAACATTGATGGTGCTAGTTGTGGCAATCCTGGTAGAGCTGGCTGTGGTGGGGTGCTTAGGGATTGGAAAGGAAAATTTGTTTTTGGCTTTTCCTACTCTCTTGGGGTAGCCAATAACTCCATGGCGGAAACAATGGCTTTGAAATTGGGTTTGTATTATTGCTATCTTTTGGGGGTTTCAAGGTATGGGTTGAAACTGATTCCCAAATGGTTTGTCATTGGTTTAATGGGATGGGAAATATTCATTGGTCTCTTCGGCAAGTTTGGAATGACATCGTTGATCTGGCAGACCTCATTGATTTAAATGTCACCCATGTCTATAGAGAGGCAAATTCGGATGCTGACTCTTTTGCTAAGTTGGGTACAGATGGACGCTCTCAATTTTCTTACTATATTAGAGACTTCCCTAAGACTACAAAAGGTTTTTTCGTATTAGACTATAGTGGTTGTCCTTTCTTTCGTATTCGTTGATTGTATTGTCTTGAGTTTTATTATTATTGCTATTTGTAACCACGGTCTGCCTCCGCCATAAGTGCAGGCTTATTAATAAAAGTTACATTTATTTATAAAAAAAGGGAAAATTGTAGTCGAGGTACCAAACCTTTCGTTTATTAGCAGACTTTGCCCAAACCTTTAGTTTGTGCCACCCACAGTACCAAACCTTTCAAAAATATGAATCGGGGGTTCAAATGGATGAAAACCGTCCGTTTGACCATTAGTTGATCAAGAATAGTAAATGTTGACCTATTTTGACTAAATTGAAAAGGGTAAAATGGTAACTTGATAATTATCATATTAAATAAATTGAAAAAAATCAAAAAATCAAAAAATTAAGAAAAAATTCAAAACTAATACTGCCCCCACCCCACCCCACTTTTCCTCCTCCTCCTTCTCCGGCCAACCACACAATTTAATCAAAATAAAAAAGGAGTAGAAGCTTGAAATGTTGGTTGGTTTCGGACTGTAGAGATGATGATAACTTGTTTAATTGCTGATAATTTGTATCGATGTGTAGATAATAGGACTGATGGCTATACAACCATTTTTTGGAGGCGAGGAGCGTACCAAGGCTGAGGTTGAACTAGCAGGGATCGATCTACTGGTATCAGTGGGTAGAACGGATTGGATGTGGAAGGCATTTATGTCGGAAGGGGAAGGAATGGACCGAGACCACGAAGTTATCAACGTGAGTGGGAAAAATGCAGCCAACATTTCTGTATTGGATTTTCCGGCCACATTGGTGGTGGTGGCTGGCTTCGATTCTCTCAAAGACTGGCAACGAAGGTAGTACGAGTGGCTAAAGCACAATGGGAAAGAAGTTGGCCGGAGAAGGAGGAGGAGGAGGAGGAGGAAATGGGGTGGGGTGGGGTGGGGGCCGTATTAGTTTTGAATTTTTTCTTAATTTTTTGATATTTTGATTTTTTTTCAATTTATTTAATATGATAATTATCAAGTTACCATTTTACCCTTTTCAATTTAGTCAAAATAGGTCAACATTTACTATTCTTGGTCAACTAACGGTCAAACGGACGGTTTCCATTCATTTGAACCCCTGGTGCATATTTTTGAAAGGTTTGGTATTGTGGGTGGCACCAACTAAAAGTTTGGGCAAAGTCTGCTAATAAACGAAAGGTTTGGTACCTCGGCTGCAATTTTCCCATAAAAAAATAAAAATAAAAAAGGGTACCATAGAGCAAAAAGTGAAAATAGAAGGCAATCAACATAACGTATAATGATATGGTCGTTGCTACCATTAAGCCCCCGTTTGATGGTCAATATTTTGGAAAAAAAGGAAAAGAAAAAAGAAATTTTGAATGGTGATTTTTTGGAGAATGTATGTTTGAAAAGTTGGAAAAAGTTTTGAATTTACATGCAAAATATTTTACTATATATATGTGTTGGAAAATAGGGGTAACGGGTCGCCCATGTGGGGTGACCCGACCCGACCGCAAGATTTCAAAAATGATAAGGAGGAAATGTTTTAAATAGAATTTAAATTCATAAATCCCTGAATAATCACTTGGAATTTCCATAGAGAAGTTATGGAAAGACAGGGAAAAGTAAAGACATAAGAAAAAAATTCGTATGGAAATTCACCTCAAAATTGGAAAGTCCTTATAATCACATTTTTGACATGAAATCTCACAAGAAATGACACTTATATTGTGAACCATAATCCCATTCAGTTGAGATCGGGATTTGGACAATTGGAGTACAAGAAAATGCAAATTTTAGAGATTTGAAAGCAAAGTAATTCAACCTCGATTTTGCGATTTCAAGTAAGTATCACTACTCGAAACTCAGTTATAAACATGCAAACACGTTTTACAAAATGTGTGGTTGGAAGAATGAGTACGAGAATTAATATAAAATTCATTTTAAAGGGAGACAAAACATGGGCTAAACCAACAAGATTTACTATCCAACCCAACAATTAAAAAAAGACTAAAATAAAAAGAGAAAAAATAAACATTTCTTCCTTCATTTACATTTTACATAGACAAATTGGGCGGAAAAAGTGTGTTGAGAGTTGAAGGTTACTAATGCAAATCAGTACCATCAATTGCTGAAAACAAGATTGGCCAACTTGAGGGTGGCAAATTACTTTATATCTTCAGAAACAAGATTGCCCAACTTGAAAGTGGCAGATAAGTCCAAATCTAAATCCTACATTGAAAAGGAATATTATTGTTAGTACGCATAAAAAATCTTATCAATGAAAATTGACTTACAGGTGAAATTAACCCCCCAAAAAAAGAAAAAGAAAAAAGAAAAAAAGAGAGGGAATTTACATGGTATGATTGTTTGGAAATGAATAGCTCATTTCTATCTTTCTTTGTGTTCTTAGGATATATCCTCTTGTCATGATCTAACCCTTTGTATAATGCACATTGACACCTTTTATTTTTCTGTGTCAACTCACTACTTGATTTAAAGTTTAAACCTTCTTGAACCAACGTTACATTTCTCATCCTTTTTTCGTCCTTTTTGTGACTGAAACCTTGGGATCCGATAGCACAAATTGAGAACTCTCCTCGTATAAATATCTAATTCCTATGGGGAAGAATCGACGTGAGTCTCTGTTTCAATATTTATGCCATAAACAATTGGTATCCTTCATTTGGTAGCATGACAAGCTGAGTGAGTGTAGCTTTTCTACGCCCAATGTTTCACATAAATGGAAAACACGCACGACATGACACAAAGAAAGGAGGGTGGAGAAATTCAACTTTGCTTCATGCTGCTGCGTCAAGGGTTTGAATCCTGAAATATGAATTTGGCTCTTGGATAAGTGTAAGTGTACAAACAGCCTTCCACTCTGTACCTTTGGAGGCATAACCTGTTATTTACCTCCCTCACGATACTTCAGGGCAGGAGCGGTGGGGGATCCTTAAGGTTGGGGTTCAACCTTTAAGAAATGCTATTTATTGAGATAAAAAAAAAGGGACATGAAATGTTGGGAAACGTTATATTAAAATTATTAATTTAATTTCATAAAATTAACATTCAACTTTTAAAAACTCTATAATATAAATTAAATAACAAATATTCCATAATCTATGCAACTAAGATCTTGACATAAAATTATTGTCATCTCAAAAGTCAAAACAATTATTGATGATGAATCAATACTCAATCTAAAAAAAATTCATAAGTTCTCAAATCTAGTTGCTTAGCTGCATCATCACCGTCAATATCTATAACACTATCATCAGCATCATTGAATAGCATGAACTCCATCTCTAATTCATCTAAAGAAAGCTTTGCAATATTCAGCGTTCCAACATCTTCAAAAGAGTCAAATTGACCCCAAAAGTATTAACATATGAATACTACTCTCTAATAATATATTAATATCGAAACTAAATCTACTAATGAATATCGATGTACAAACGACAAACTTAAAAGTAATTTTCAAACAACTTATTTATGCAATTTAATGTAAAAAAACTCAAATATATAGTGAATTACTTGCTTTGCTCAAAGTGGGAATGATTGCTCTATACACGTCTAGTATCTTCCTCAATGTCTATAGACTCTCAAAAAACAATCACACGATAATCAGGATATTTAGGTTTATGCTAAAATCTAGTATTATAATACTATAATTTAAGTTAATTTTAAGCCAAATTCCATAAGTAAGCCAAACTCCATAATCTAGTACCACGAATCATCAAATCGAAACGAATATTGAATGAAAACAAAAATTGAAAAGGAGATTCAAAATAAATAATTTCCAATCGTTAACCTTTTTTTTGGCTGCAAATCTTCAGCCTTAATTCTCCGTTGATGCCAATTTCACAAACCCGTTTCTTGAGATTCCAATCACCATTTAGAAGCGAAGAATGGTTACAGATGGTGCAATTATTTTATTTTATTTTTTCAAAAAGGGCTTATGAAAAGGTAATTGGTGATTTTTAAGGTTAAGTAGGGTGTGTTTGGCTATGGGGATTAAATTTTTGAAGGATCAAATATAATTGATGAAGACCGATAGATTATTTATTTAAGATTACAAATTATTTTTCAAAAATCTTTATCAAATGTGTTAGTGGGTGAGACGCTCGCCATACATCAATGATCATCTACTTTATTTCTCTATTTATACTTCGTGTTCATTGATGTAACTGACATCAACGATAACAATTCTCTCGAGAGCAAGCCAGCAGTAAAAATGAAGCTAAGGTAAAGATAGAGAGAAAACAAATAATTCAATAATGTAATCATTAATACTATTTCTAGACAGGTGGAGTCCCTATACCCCACTGAAATTTTAGATTTTTTTTTTTTTTTGAAATGACCTTTTTATTATTTTTTTTCATTTTATGCTTTAGTAATATTATGTTTTGTGGTAAAAAAATAATAATAATAATAATAAAATAAAAATCGATTGTCCTCCATTGGATCGAAGTCTTGCTTCCGTCACTAAGTACAACATAGTTTCTCATATTGAGTACTGTCAGTCAAAAAGCATGACATTCCCGATTTAAGTAGACTCTCGTCTCGACGAAGTTGTCTCCCTTTCCCTGTGTAATGTGAACTATTTGGCACTTCTATTGAAGAACAAAACATTACAATTAGAGTGATAGTTCTTCACTTACCTTTCACAAGCAATTTTAGTGAAAAAATAAATAAATTAATAAATGATAAAAAAAAAGAGTTTTAAACAATTTTTATCGTAGTTTCTACTGAAGTATACTTCAGAATTCCAGCATAACTCTTCATCAGAGCTTGATATTAACCTAAGACTTCGACAGAGTCCGGCATGGTGCCCATGAATAAACCTCGGAGGGCGAAGTTCCACTAGTAAGCAAATTCGGTGCAATCCCATATGCCTCTGAGACATCGATATGGTGACGCTGCCTATTGTTTTGATATTCATCTTCGTCTAAAAGCAAGCGATCGAACGTAGCATTCATAAATGTCGCAGCCATGACGATAACAGGGCCGGACGCAACTAGCGCACCTACCACATTGCCCCCCACAACCTGCCCTTGAGTCCCTGTTAAGTAGATTGTTAGGCCGGTGACTAATGGTGAGGCAGGTGGGGGCAGAATCGATCCGAGCAATGATAGAATCTCGAATCTTCCATGGAGAGTTACAATTGATCCCGATGAGGAAGGTTGGCGCAGGGTGACGTTGGTTACACAACCAGTCGCGCTAAGCACGCATATGCCACGTTGTTTTCTGCGCGCAAAGTTTAGTAAGCTTTCGTTCACATCACAGCCGGAGGATACCTCAATGGCGTGTGCTTTTAGCGCATTGGCGCTGTCCCTAGTGATGACGATTGGTGGCTTGGGCTTGTTCTTGGATCCGACTGGCCTTCCACGAGGCCTTCGGATGGATTCTCCATCAGCTGATTTTGGTAATTTTGGAGCTACAAGTAAACTTGTTGCATCAATCCCTCCATTGAGTACTTCTGAATTATGATCCTTGGAGACTTTGGTTGAAGTAGGGTGTGTCAAGTCTGCTTCACCAGCCATTACTTCGCTATTTTCCTTCACGAAATTGCGAAATTTGTGTTCGGATTAAGAGTTTAAGTAGGCCAAAAACAAAGTTAAAATTTTGGTGAAAAGACAAAAAATTTAGTTGTAGATTAGATTATGGTTAGTGCATTATAGACATGTAATCTATACTTGTGCTCTCTTTTCCTAACTTTCAACTGATTTTTCTTTCATGAGTATTGCCTTTATCAACAAACAATCTCATAATGTTTCCACTAATTGTGTATTGGACACTCAAAAACCCAACTAAATACCAAACAGTTCTCTCTTAATATAAGAGAGAATACAAACAAGTTCTTGTATGAAGTCACTTAACTTGCACGTTTCGAGTGATCACTCATCACCACCTCTCGTGCAAATCTCGACCACTGAATTAATCCTTGGTTGATTAATATTGTTCTAGTCGAGTTTTACGCCCTTTCTTTCTTTCATTTGCCGCTAAAAATTGTGCAGATAAGTGCACAGTCGACATATTCCCTGCTGATAAGATCAGAGAATATTAGTATCTCACCGATGAGCAAATTCTGCATAGATTTAGGCTGTATCTACCTAAGAAGTACAATTTTTTCGTTCGAAGCCTTATTCAACAGTATTCCTTTTCAAAGCGTCCATGGCTTAGTTGTCGTTGGACAATATTAAAGAAGAAAAAGTAGTTAAAATCTTGCTCTCTGTATTACGTGCCATGCCTAATTTGAATATCAAACATGCCTCTAAATTATTCAGTGGGGATAAGGCTTCGAATACACGCTGAAGAGCCCATACCTGCCATGCAGAACCAAACTAACTTTTCAGAAAGTAGATAATCCTGACAGGGCAAAAACATTCTTATATAATTTTGCCATCAAACATGTAAATATTCTGGTCTTCTTGCAATAAGCCAGCAATCGCTACAAATGTCTTTTGGAAGAATTTTGTGAATAGTGACACCAAAATAAGTATAATGATGGTTAGGGACAAAGTTGAGGCAAGAGTTGAACTCTTTGTCTTTAAGTCGAATTTGCCTCGCAACGGTGCCTACGGATTTCGGCAATCGACTCCCAAGATACAACGGCTACACTTGTGTTTGTAGCCCTCCAAAACACAAGTACAACGAACCAAATTTAGGTTTATGTACTCCAAGGATGAAGGAAAATCAAAATAAATGAAATGATTTTGATTTTGAATAGAAGAGAGGATGAGAGACGTTTTTGCATATCAAAATTGTGAGGAATAGGACACCCAAAGGGTCCTATTTATAGACCATGAAAGGGTGTGGACGAAATGGTTGAGGCCAAACCATGCACCCTTTCCAAACAATGCACATTTATGAAAATGTGTCTATTCACTAATTTTCGTCCTTTTTCATAATTTCTCATTCATCTGATATTGATTTTCGAAATGCCAAATATACCCTTCAATATATGCAGAGAAATCAAAATTCTCTTTCGGGGGCGTTGCCCCCGAGCCCCCACGGGG